CATATATAAAAGTAAAAAAAAAAATCTTATAATAAACGGGGCAAACTCTACTAAAACACGGGTCAATTAATGCAACTGTTTACACTCGTAGGTTCTGTAGTATCACATTTAAAAAGTTTTTTTGATGAAAATGGATTGATTAATTGAAGTAAATTGAAGTAAAGAGTCTGGCCTGAGACGCCCTGGTGTGTACATCGGTGTAATTCGTTCATATAATAGACTCAGTTTACTTTAATTTAATTTTCAGTTCAGTTAAGTTCAGTTTTTTTTTTCTTCTCTTTTTTAAAAAAACACTATTATTAATCACGCTATTAAGTGTCGGATCTTCACAATAATCGGAGTAAAGAAAACGCAGCGAGATTGATAGAGTTCTGGGAGCAACGAGCTGGCAGGCGTCTACTAATCCTAACAGCATTAGACCAGCATTAGACGTTGTTTACTACCGTCAACAGTCCTGGTATTTATTTATATTTTAATTGCGAAGTAATTCTCATTAATAAATTTAAAAAATGGTGCAGTGTAATATTTGCAACAACTCTATCGCACGCGAAGATAAGAACAATATACACTGCGTTAAGTGTAAAATAATTTTTCATGGTAGGTGCGTCAACCTTAATGATAAAGACACCGAAGCATTAAAAATAATTAAAAAAACATGGGTTTGCTCTAACTGCGAACAGGTGAAAAAACAAAATACCGAGCCGTCCCCCTCAGAAATACTTGCGGCAGTAAATCGTTTAGACGCTACCGTGAACGAAGATATAAAAAACATGAAAACAGCACTAGATAAATACGGAGAGCTCAGTTTTGAACTAAACGAAAGACTGACGAAGATTGAAAAACATCTGGAAGGTCAAGCTAAAAAGTTTGAGGAGATACTATTAGAAAACAAAGCACTCAAATCCCGAGTGGGCGAATTAGAGGTTCGCTTGAATAACGCAGAGCAAGGACTATTGAGTAGATCACTGGAGATCCGCGGTATACCGGAGCGACCGGGCGAAACGCCCGCTGCTTTGGTGACCAGTATAGGAGCAAGCTTGGGGATCAGGCTTAGTGTGGAGGACCTGGACAACGTACATCGCCGCAGAAGCCGAAAAGATGACTCGCGACCACCGCCTGTTATCGCACGCTTTGTCAGGCAATCAATTAGAGATGATCTAATTACGAAAAGGAAAGTGAAGAGGGATTTCTCCACGCGGGATATCGGTTGGCAGGAAAATGACTGCCACCGAATTTATCTGGGTGAAGAGATGACTCGCACAAACAGACACCTCTATTGGCTAGCCCGGCAGAAGAGAGCGGCGGGAAAAATCAAATATACGTGGTTTGCTTCCGGAAAGGTGCGGTGTCGAAAAGAGGACGGACATAGAGTCATCCTGATAGAACAGGCCTCGGATCTAGATGTATTTGACTGACTACCTAGAAGCCGTCAACCCCTTAGCCTCATTAAAATAGTCTTACTTCTTCTCTTAGTGCTATCTCTACACCGTCACTCATCAATCTATTTATTTTCAAGTACATTCTCTTTATTTATTTTTAATGTTAATATTACTTTTTCTTCACTTAGTTTCATGTACGATAATCGCTTTTCTGTACTTTCTACTCGTTTTGTCTTCTCGCTACCAAACACTGACTGTTTCTCTCCAAATCCACTGTATGTCTAGTTCCCTAATCACATGTCAAGTTAACTCTCAATCACTTTCTGCCCATTATGACGAATTCCTGCAATACTTTACCCAAAACTTTTATCATATCATAGCAATATCCGAAACCTGGCTCAAACCTTATATTCCATCATCTTCAGTCTCCTTGCCTGAATTACATCCTGCTCCGTCATGACCGGGTAAACCGGACTGGCGGTGGAGTAGCCATGTTTGTCCACAATAGCCTAAAGACCCGAATCCTCGATTGCTCCCCATCTTCCGATCATCCTCATGTAGAATACCTCTTAGTAGAAATTCTCAGTAATATTTCTCCTATCCTTTACGCCGTGGTATATCGCCCTCCTCTCGTGCCATTTGACCCGTCCTTCGAATCAACTCTATTCAACTTCGTTCCCCTCTATCCCAGAATAATTATCTCCGGTGACCTCAATACCAATTTCCTCTCAAACTCCAATGACAAATCCTATTTAGAAAATCTGTTTTTCTCACTTCACCTATTCATCGTTCCTTTTTCCTCCACCCACCACACCACCAGATCTGACACTTGGCTAGACTACTACATCATCGACTCAGCACAAAACCTCCTCTCCGCCTCTCAATTGCCAGTATCCTTTCTTTCATCTCATGATCTGATACAAATAACGTATAATATCCGCACTCCTCCAATCCATCCTCGAACTATCACTTTCCGCCAACTGGATACCCTTACTCGAGAAAAAATATTACCTGATCTAGTAACATTGGATTTGAATGGAATATATCATTGCTCCTCTGTCGACACCATGGTTGATATTCTCACCACCAATCTTCTCAATATACTCAATACCCACGCTCCTCTGAAAACCTCCACTTTCCGTCATCGTCCTGCTCCTTGGATGTGTCAGGAAATTAAGGATCTGCAGAAGAGACGCGACGCTGCACGCAGACGCTTCAGACGGACTAGGCTTGCAGATGATTATCAAATATTCAGAGTGCTTCGTAACACGACACAGACAAGGATCCGACAAGCGAAAGCGAACTACTTTCACGAAGCCCTTTCCTCAGCTCCTGATATCAAATCAAAATGGCTTCTACTTCGTAAGCTTTCCCTCTGTGAACCTTCTAGATCCCCTTCCTCAGTTTTCCCAATATCACCTGATGACCTAAACTCCCACTTTATATCGGTTTCCACCTCTTCTTTACCATCCCCTTCCGGCTTTTCTCCAGAGGTACCTTTTAACGACAATAATTTTTATTTTTCCGACATTTCTCCCACAGACCTTATTACCGTTATAATGAAATCCCGTTCCAATTCCGTAGGCCCAGATGGCATTCCTATCAAACTAATAAAATTATGTCTCCCTGAAATCCTCCCAGCACTCCTTTTCATCTACAATTTCTCCCTGCAGAATTCAATATTCCCGACCTCTTGGAAAAAAGCCATTGTCCTTCCTTTAAACAAAAAGCCTAATCCATCCTCTCCCGAAGATTTCCGCCCAATATCAATCCTTTCCAATCTTTCTAAACCCCTAGAAAAGTTAGTGCAATCCCAAGTTTCCAACTACCTTGAACAATCCAACCAACTCGATCCTCTCCAATCTGGCTTCCGTCCTGGCTACTCTACACAATCTGCTCTGATTAAAATTACTAGTGATATCCAGACTGCAATAGATGACAAAAAACTAACCATACTTATACTGCTTGATTTCTCCAAAGCTTTCGATTCCATTATCCATTCCATCCTTTTCAACAAACTAAAATCATTATCCTTCTCCAATAGTTCCATCTCTTGGTTCCAGTCTTTCCTCTCACAACGAACCCAAGCAGTTTCCATACCTAATCAACCTCTATCTGCCTACCTTCCTTTATCCTCAGGAGTTGCACAGGGTTCAAGCATGTCTCCTCTTCTTTTCAGTTCTTATATTAATGACCTAAATGATTCAATTATCCATTGTTCCCACCACCTTTATGCCGACGATTCTCAAATCTATTTATCCTTTTCTCCCGCTGAGTTATTGGTGGCATTTGCCAAAATTCAAGAAGATTTAGATCGAATTAGTGCCTGGGCCAACTTAAATGGATTAAGGCTAAATGCTGCCAAAACTCAGGCCATTCTCATTGGTTCCAAGCCCCTTCTTAGATCCCACACCAACTTTCCCTCACTCTATCTAAACAACCACCCCATCACCTTCTATCCCTTTGTTAAAAATTTAGGCTTTCTCATAGATCAAACCCTTTCCTGGAATCACCATATCTCTCATATATCCCGCCGTGCAATTTCTACCCTCAAACTATTCCATCACTTCCGCCATCTTCTACCCCAAAATACCCGTAGACTCATAGTTTCCTCTCTCATCTTTCCCCACTTTGACTACAGCTGTGTGGTGTACGATGGCCTCTCGGTGGAACTGCGTGATAGACTCAAAAGACTTATGAATTGCTTCGTAAGATTTGTAATTGGAACCCCGAGACGCTCCCGTGTCTCCCACCACTACACTGAGTTAGGGTGGCTCTTCCCCTCCTTAAGAAGACAATATTTCCTTGGCACTTTCCTTTATCAAATCATTACCGATCATCGTCCTTCTTATGCCTACAACCTTCTCCAATTTAAGTCCTCAATCCATTCACTCACTACAAGATCCCGACCCTCTGACCTATACATCCCTTCTCATAGATCTGCCTCATTCCAAAATTCCTTTATAGCCCGCTCTGTCAACTTTTGGAATTCCCTCCCGATCAAAATTCGACATGCCCCTTCCCTGTATACATTCAAAAACCTCCTATTCCAATTCCTGTTCCAAAAACAGTCTGATACCAGCTAACTATTGATATTATATATGTATTGTGTAGCAATCATATAATCATAACACTTGGTAAGAGATAGTACATGCATTTCCTACTATCGACGTAGGAATTTCAATACATACATTTTTTTTTATTATTTTTTTTTATTCAATTATAAGTAACTGTTTATTTTTATATATATATATTCAAGTAAAGTTTTTTTTTTTTTTTTTTATGAAATGAACTCATTGTATCTCTTTTTCGTTCTTCATTTCTCAAAGTGTATGTTTATGTTGTTCAACCCTTAAATATAATTTTGTTCATAGTTCAAGTGATTCGTTCATAGTTTTAATTGTTTTGTTCATAATTTTAAATGCTCTGTACATAGTTTTATCTGTTTGTATATAGCTTGTGCACCTAAGGTTTTCTTTACTTTTTATTTTATTTTATCAATTTTATTTATTGTTTCAACGTTCAGGCCAGTAATATTCTATTATTTTGTACATTATTGTTATTCTGAAGGGACTTAGTCCCAGAATAAAGTTTTTTTTTCTATCTATCTATCTATCTATCTAAATTTCACGATAAAGTGTAGTTAGTAATATTGTCATACTAGAGTGGTGGTGGAGAATATTCGACTTCACTGTATTTTAGAATGAGATGAGTGGACGCAGTTATCCCTAATGTCAGCAGATAAATATATACTTGAAAATGACAGGAAAAGACACAGGTGATCAAATAAATCCTATCCAGTCTTATCCATCCCATCATAGCCCAAAGAACAGTTATCAGTACATCACCTAAAGGTGACTTTGAGCCGCGATGGCCAGACCAGTCCTACAGATGATTAATAACAGGTTGTCTTTTCCTTAGAGGGCAGTCCTCGGAAGCTTCAGCCACCATTCTAGGATATAGCCCATCTGTTAGCTGTCGAGTACATATCTTCAGCCAAGGATGGAATAGGTCAGTACCTTGTCGGCTCCTTAACGAAGGAGTCGCTAGGAAATTATCATTGACGTGGTATTTTGATAGTTGTTGATTCGCCTGATTGCTGCAAAAATAGAAAATATAGATTAGACTGAAATCTGATGTTTTTTATTATTAATTTTTTTTATTTTAACAAAAATTTTGTGGCGCCATTATCCTTTCTTGAAATGTATCACACATTGTTTGGAGTTTGCTTACCTGTAAAATCTAAAGATTACTTACCTGCTTTAAGAGAAATAATTAAATATATAAATGAAAATTGAGTAACTGTTCTACTTAATTTCATGACATCAAGAATTTTGATGTTACGATTAATTTATAAATGTTATCTACATCTGTTGATTAAATTAACCAAATATATATATTCTTTTTTCTACGCCTTGTATAACCCCTACTTGATCAACCATGCGTAGTCTTGCAGTACAATATAATTTTGCTCTCTTAGTATAATACTTGTCCGTTTCACTGTAAGCACATCTTATGTCCTGTAATGCTGGGCATGATTCAAGATATTCTTCTGTCATAATATCCAAAGAGCACATAGCAGATTTTATACCGATGCGGTGGAGGTGCTTCTGCAAGAATTCATGGCCTATAAGCACGTCACGGATTGCACTCTAGGGAGGCAATTAAACAAATGTGCTGTATTATACAAACGTAAATATAATTTGTTGTCAATAGTAATATATCCAGTCTGTCATTACCTATTGGTCCATCTAGGTCTTCGTCTGGTTGATGTATTTAGCGTCATTGTAATGTGAAGTACAGCAACTTCAGTCAAGGATACATATATTAATGTCAGTCTTTTTTTTTTTAATATATATGTTCTTAAAAAATTGCCCAGAATTATAAAATATTTGATCTCAGCAAAGTAGTGGTAGATTAACATAATCCTTTGAAACTCGATTGGTGCTCTACCAAATAAGGCTTTAAACAATTAAGCATATAAAACAAAGCTATGGTGAAACTTATCCCGATTTTCGTTTTTGTTTTTTTATGAATTGATGTAATATTCACTGTTGTTAAATTTAGCTTCGATTTCCATCGCTTAGTAAGTTATTTTCTTGCTTATCGGTTTTATTTTACGTAAGTGTAATTGTAAAAAAAAAAAAAAAAAAAAACTGATCAATGACGTCTATACTTCCTATCCCTATGTTAATGCCGTTTATCATCGACGCAGATAAAATGAAATTTATCAAATGAAATTTATAATACGTCATGCGTCGATGATTTATGATTTGAATAAGTATTATATTATATATAGGGTGAGCACATAGGCCACAAGCCAGCTCACGGAAACTAATTTTTTAAAAATTCCTGTATTCTTGTCCAATTTTCATTCGATTAAATTTTATTTTCTTATTACAAATAAACAAAACCTCACAATTGAACAATATTTCCCACGTTAACATTTCGGTTATCGAATTATTATTTTAATAAATGTTCGGAAGTGACTTAAACATTTTCGGCTTCATTTTCGAAGAGCGGCGACAGATGATCTCCTGGTTGTTTCATATGTTTCTGAATCAGTTCATCTCGAATGTGTACTTTTACATTATGTACTTCATCTTTGGACCAGCCCATGACAAATAACGAGTAATATTCCAGTAGTACGAAGTCTGAAGATCTTGGGGACCTGCTAATTGGACCAATCCAACGATCTGGAAACCATTCTTTCGTACAAATTTTACTTCACCTTATAAGCGAAATGAGCGAGAGTTGAAATTCTGAAAGTGCATTTGCATTCTGATATTTAGAGGAGCATCCTCCTTCTTGGTATCCTCCTAATTGATAGTCCTTGTAATTAAATTATAAGAAATCTAAGATTAAGAATGAGCAGTGCGTGTGTAACAATGCGATGAGCACTGTTACAATTAACGCATGTCAAGACTGTAACTTCTTTATAATCTGTTGTAAACAAAAACATCTAATACCAAAATGTTCTTACATGTATGAAACATTGTTTATTTGTTATTAGCCAATAAAATTTTAACGAATAAAAATTCAGATAAAAACATACGAGCATTTTTTTTTATCATTTTCCTGTGTGCAATCAACTTCCTGACGTTTAACTCGTTCGTCCGACTCACACTGATGTACTTTTATGTTGTTCATCCGTTGTTTTTCTTAATCGGTCTTATGTCCAACTTTTAGCCGTTCTTTGTACCAACCGACATTGAGGAAAGTATAATTCTCATTATTTCATAAGGCACCTAGCTATACCGAGAAGTACTATCTTAAATCTCTCGTAGAGACAGAAGATATAAACCAGAACAACCAATAGACGGCGCGGACAGGTGGCCCTATGTAGTGCTATAAAGCCTACGAGAGATTGCTATCTGTAATTCAGGGGCTGTGTCCGCACGCTGCCAGCTTACCGTCAATTCTTCTCGCCCGTTAACCTTTGCACGGATTTACGACGGTTGTGGAGCTGGTGTAGGCCTGTAGCAGATTAAAGATCACTTCTGATTGGTGGAGGAGCGAATGGCGGCCTGTTCTCCGGCCACTAGAGTGTCGGTTAATTAGTAAGCTATTGTTAACTACTGACTATTAGTTATAGCCGCTCAAGCGAAGCATCATATTTTCTTGAGCGACCGTTTCACGTTGTAAACATTTCGTGAGAGCTCGAGAGTCCTTGAGAATAAATAAGTAAGCGATAGTAACATTAAGTGGTTATAATCGCAGGTAGCTATTAATAGTTATATCATTCAACATTATTTTTGTTTTTGATTTCCGTCTGGAATAAAATCAGTAGAATGATCTTCCTATTCTTATGGGATAAAAAAGAGCGGTAAACGCAATAAAAAAATAAGTGATTTCGGTCTATCTAATAAAATTGTTCTTGAAAACTAGTCTAAAATTTTAGTAAAATTATGAATTGTAATATATGCAGTAATAACGCAGAAAATATTGACCTTGAATATTTAGAAAAAAAATAAAAATCTTTTTTTTTTTTTTTAATTTTACGCTTCATGCCTCTTTCGGCCTTAATAATACCAAGATGGTATTGGTTAGTATTGCCCAAATGCGAGACCGAGACGAGTCTTGGTCTTGCACAAGACTCTCGTAACAGTCTTGCAGTTGCCTATTAGCTTATTACTGGAGAGATATTACTGCCTTTTTGTAGATATGAGAAACCTAACTAAGTCTGAATGAAACATTAGAAGAGTTAAATACAAAAGTATATTGGTGTACTTACCAACTCGTTACATACAGTAACTAAAATTGTCAAGTACTGGTAACTATTTTATTCAAAAAATCGATTTTTTTTTCCTGTCTCTGTCTTCGTTGGTCTTGGTCTTGCAACAGATAGGCGGTGTTGGTCTTGTCTTGCAAAGCGCTAGACCAAAACCGATTTTGGGCAACACTAGTATTGGTATACGAATGTGGAAACTCATAAAAGATACATCTTACTACAGTAGGAGAGCTAAATCGATATTCATTAAGTAGGAAGTTCATATTTTTAATCATATACCCTTCAACTTGTGGGTGTTCAACCAACAACCAACTTTGAACAATATTTTCTCGATATACATTTTACAATTTTCTTATATATTTTATTTTTTATTCGTAAAATCGTTTTTAAAGTTATGAATCTGATATTTATAACTTTCAATCATCATTTAATTGAGATATTGAAGTGTTTTAATAATTAATTAATCATTGGTTAAAAAGTGAATCACTGTCGATCCCAAAGGCTGAAGCGTAACAATATAAATATTGTAATGTAATTTAAAGAATTGGCAATAATTTTATTATGTTTCTTGGGTTATTATGTTAATCAATGATTAAATCATTAAATTAATAAATTAAATTTAAAAAGAAAAATTGTGTACCGTTTATTTTGAAACAGTGAAGCATTATTCAAAAGCTTTCAATATTTTTTTATTATTTCTGACAATTGGGGTACAAGAATCACTTTGATAAAGGAAAACTTCAAGGACTATTCAAGTTATACCTAGAACATAACGATTTATGCTCTGATGTTAGAAGCAGATTTATTTGTTGAGAAATGAAGTTCGTTTTATGTAAACCAGCAATCAATTAAGGATATAACAATAATTAAGAATAATAAGAAACCATCAATCAACCACGACAATTAAGAATCAAACCATGACGAGCATCAGCGTGTGGAAGGATTGTTTTGCTTTACTCGGACATTTTCTCCTGGTTGCAATTTAGACAGATTTTGTGTTTTTTATCTCTTTTATGTTTGGTCATTATATAATAAAGTTATTTTAAAATGAAATATTTCTGAGTAACACCAGCATGTTAACACCTCCCTCATCATTTTTTTTTTTTTTTTTTGAGTCTGCAATATTTGATAAAGATGATTAGCTTATGCGATATGAAAATTACGACACATAACCAAAATAGTATGAACACTTGATATTAATGATATATTAAGAGGCTCTTCAAGGAACTTATTAAATCCCAACAATAAAATAAATGAGAACTGAACCGGCATTTCATTTAATAATTATTAAAAAAAACGAAAATATCCAAGTTGACGTTGCGGGAAAATTATTCCCATTTTCGAAACTTTAGTACCATGCATTAATCGCAATTAATGGCTAGAAAAGAATTAATAAAAATAAAATGCAAGTTACAAAACATGTTAATGTAATGTTGTTACATAATTAGCTATAATTACCTCGTGTGCTCCTTTGGCATAATTTGTAGTTTTTGTGTTATATATATATATACATATATATATATATTATATATATATATATATATATATATATATTATATATATATATATAATAATAATATAATATCTGGAGCATCACATTTATAGGACTAATAATTGAATATCTACTAGCTACTTTGGGATATTATCGACAAAAGTAGCTAGCAGGCACTCAATTATTAGTCCTATAAATGTGGTTCTCCAGATAGTATATTTTTATTATTTTATATATATATATATATATATATATATATATATATATATATATATATATAAAACACAAAAACTTTAAATTATGACAAAGGAGCACACGAGGTAATTGTGTGCAATAACATGTTTTGTAATATGCATTCTTTTTTTATTGACTCTTTTCTAGCCATTAATTGCTATGAAAGTATGAGAATAAAGTTTAGAAGATGGGATTAATATTCCCGAAACGTGAACTTGACATGAATTTTAACAAATAAAGTAATTGTTTTATCCTTGGAAGTTTTTATTGCCAAACACAAAGAAAATTAAACAGCTTCCCAACAAAAAACAACCAAATACCATGTTCCTGCGATGCAGCTGTTGGATGGAAGAGATCGCGGAAGGATTCGGCGGTCCCTTTGATTGCTCATATCGGGAGCCACTGATGAGGAGCTATTGAACTAACCGCAGCTCCTGGCAATGAAACTGCATTCATTATTGAACCGTTCCTCTCATCAATGATTATCTTCCATCGATTGGGCAGATTACCTTCGAAATTTGGTAGCAATCTGACAGTGATTAGGGCCGAGTAATGCATGGTGCAGCTACTAAGGGTCTATTTCGGTCTCCATGACACAACTTCTCATTGTGCTTTTTTCACACGTTAAGAGTTGTTATCTCGTTTGGAAGAGAAACTTGTATTACAGTTCTATTCAGATACTATTTTCTATATCTTGCAGAGATACTTAGCTGATCCATATCCTCCATATCGCGAACCTCGGAACTGGATTGTCTCCTGTTCCTGCATTTGATACTTTTTAATTAAATGATACTAAATTATATTTCGTAATTTTGATAAATATTAATTA